TAATGTTATAAAAGCAGTTATGTTTTGAAAAAGATCTATGTAATAAAAGGTAGTAATATAATAAAATTGGAAAAAATTTTCTGAGAATTAGCATGTTTAAATCACACCGAAAGATAAAAAAAAAAACCTCATCGTATAATCAATATCAGCATACTCAACACATTATTATAAAACAAAACAAGCTATTATATAGGCCTATAAAGTAATTTATAAAGAATTATGTAATGTGCTTCTTTATATATATAAAACATTTAAGAAGTGTTTTCTTGTTTTAACTTAAATAATGAATCTTCCAGTAGGCCTATATAAACAAATATAGCTGCCTGTTACAAAATAAAGTAGGACCTGAACTTCTTTTTGACTCTCATCTTGTACACTGAAAATAATATTAGGCCCTACTATTTTTACTACATGGATAAAAAAGCACAAATATTGTCATTACTACAACTGACAGGGCCATCGTTAAATTAAGTCAGAGCCCAAAATATAGCATCATATCATATGTCATCTGACATCATGGGAACCTAAACTTTAATTACAATTATTTGTTTACTAGGCTTAATTCGAAATTATTATTTTAAGACTTTAACCTAATACATACTGATTAATAATAGCTGAGATTTTATGCACATTTCAGAATTAATAATCGTTTTTAGTATCTTACTGAATATTTATTGTCTACCAAATGAAATATGAATTATATATAAATCTTTAGAAATACAATTTCTACAATATTAATCTTGTTTTTATATAGATTAAATGTTCGATAAATACTATCGTTCATAAAACAAACGAAATTCAGCGCGTCTATTTTCATTCCAATCATGGACCTATTAATAATGTCCATGTTCCAATCAATGGCGTTTGTAAACATGTGCACTGACGTTATCGTCGAATCCCAGGACTTTCGACGGCAATGCAGGCCTGCCTGCCTAGGTCCCAGGCCAACCAATAATAATTAACAAAATGTATTTTTTAAAATATAGGCCTATGGTGCATCCTAGTACATGCACTTCAACTTTTACAACAAAAGCCTAGGCCTAGTAGTACGTCCTACTGTACTTAAGCCTACACTAGTTTGATGTCGTCGGGGTACATCTGTCTCTAAATGCAGCGTGAACACTAGGGAAAATCAAAATTCCCAAGATGGGGTCTAAAAGATTGCTTTTAAAAACCCAAGATTCGCAAAATATTATTATTGCCTATATACATAAACTTCATTTTAAAGTCCTTCATTTTAAAGCTTTTTCAATGAATTATATACTGTACAGTATTTTGTACTTAATAGGCCTTAACGAAGTGTCTGGATTTTCGAGACCAGAAACTCGTTCGCTTTGGGCCATACTATTAGAAGGCCTACTCTGTGCGTCCGTGGAAAATCCTTTTTGGTGACTAAAAATAATTTCCTCTGGCATTGTATGATAGGCCAAGAGTTCGAAGTTTGTGCGCAATTTCACCCATTCGATATTAACAAGGTCAGTACTTCACACACATTAGGCCTATGACCTACAATATTATATAAAAAGGCATAATCGATCTTTACAGAGTGTCTAATTGATCTGTCAATTTTATACCAGGGGCCTACAGTATTGCATAGGAGTATTTAACAATATGAAAAATGGGGAAAACAGTTTCCTTTGAAATTTACTTAGCGAGTGTGTATGAAACCGGGCAACTAAAATTTGATACTACGTCTAGAAGTGTAAAGATACGGACCCTATTAGTAAAAACTGTTGAATTCTAAATGATTACAAGATGACCAAGCATATGAATGAATCAGTCTAAAATGATATTCAAAGATATTATACAGCTAACCGCTAATGCTTGCTTTGCATGTCTATCACAC